AAACCGGCGTTTACGTGTGGACGATTGGTGCAAACGCATAGAAAAATCTGCGTTTTCAAAAATACCCGGGTACGTGTGGACGTAGCCCTAATGTGACGTTGTTGTCCCTGGCTCTCTTCCTCTCTCTCTTTCCCTCCCGCTCTGTTCCTGTGCTACTGCGAGTGTAACTACCGCCGCTTCCCCCTCTGCCCAGCACAAAGCACAAGGCTCGTGTGCGGAGTGAAGCGGAAAAAAAGTGTGAGAGAGCAGGGTGAGAGAAGGAAGAAAAAAAAAAAACAGCTCGCGATAAGAAGCCGGCTCGTGTCGTTCACGTCAAAGATCCGCCTCTAAGAGCCATTTCGTTCGCGACCGACACATCTGTCTTCTTCTTGATATCAAATATATCCACAATAGGTATTTCAGTATTTTATACTTTTTATTATGGTTTCCTGAAACACTTCTTTTTTTTTTTTCTCCCATGAAAGTTTATTGAATAACAAACACTACATTTGGCACATTTAGAAACTAAGATTATCAGAACACCAAAAAACTCATTATCAGATACGTCACCTCATGAAAGATGAAGCTTTGTAAAAGCTTTAAAAACAAAAAACAACAAAATGATGCAAAATAGTAACTGTAATAAAATAAATATTTACAATCATAAAAAGAAAAGTCCCTGATTAGATTTACTATATGACAGTTAAATATTACACAAAACAATAACAGTCAGGTGGCTGGGGAAAAAAGCATCAGAGTCACTTGTTTCATGCAACTGCACTTTGTGGTACTAAGGTAGAGAAGTCAGTAAAACCAGGTGTCTATTTCTATAACTGAGCAGTTACAGACTCTGCCATGAATCATTTTATTGTGATAATGCTCAACCACTTGAAAGGCATTCTCTCTTTTGCATCACTGAGTAGATACATGAAAAATTATAATACAATTCTCCTGTTGCACTTTGTGAGTTGGCACCATGTCTGATAATTTAGAACTGAAATGATACAAAACAAATGCTCTAAGGCAGTGGTTCTTAATCTTGTTGGAGGTACCGAACCCCACCAGTTTCATATGCGCATTCACTGAACCCCTCTTTAGTGAAAAATAAAATATGATTTTTTTCAAATTCAAGACATATGTTTTTTATTGGTGCACAAAATGAGCCGTGCATGTCACGGTGGAGGCTCTGCCGAACCCCTGAGACCGACTCACCGAACCCCTAGGGTTCGATCGAACCCAGGTTAAGAACCACTGCTCTAAGGTCTTCTGGGGGATTG